TCTCTCTCTCTCTCTCTCTCTCTCTCTCTCTCTCTCTCTCTCTCTCTTTTCCCTTTTACTGGAAGTTGCAGTCCTCTGTCCTGACACAGTGCTAAATCTCAGGGCTTTATCTGCCCAAGAGCTGCAAGGGTGCATGGGGAATATACCAATTCCAAATTAGACTCAACTAATCTAATTTTATAGTCTTTTTATTATTCTAAGCACCAAATGTCTGTGGTGGTTCGATGCCTCTCTGCATTGTTACTGGTCCCATCTGGTAGGTCATTCTATTGAAACATTTCTGACTAAATACAGATTCCCACAAACTGCACCAACCATCATCAGTATTAAAGAAATCCATTGATAGAAGCACTGGGGTGGGGGGGGGGCGGGAAGCATTATAGTGACTGCCTTAAAGAAAGATGGACACTTCATTTTAAATTGGGAAGGATTAAATGCAACTATCTGGTACCTCCTTTCTTCCCCTTCCACCCTCCATCCCTGCTATCCAGTGAGCATTCTACTTATGTCTTAGGAATAGATGTTTCACGTTTTTAGTGCGAACTGAAGACTCTAGAATTTTAGTTGGAATCAGATACTTGGGGAACCTTTTGGCAAATAACATATTTAAAAACAAAATACATGTAGAGCCTTCCTAATGTGTATCTGTGTATGTATATAGACACATATAGTATGTATGCCTGGGAATTAAAAATATATATACATATATAACCAATATGATCTCAGAAGGAAAAAAAATATGCTAAATTTGCAATTGACAGATTTTCTCTTTAACTTTACACTGGTGAATCCTATAACAATCTTCCCAGTAACTGACTATAAGAAGCACAACAGTATCAGAAAACTTAAAGAAAAATTGTTTTTCTTTTTTAAATATCAGGAAAAACACCTCTCCACCCAGGGAGTCCCTATCACAAGAATCATGATTTGTATGGTGTATTACACTTTACAGAGACAATCTGATCTTTCTTAAAGAAAAGGGTAAGGATATATTAGATGATCTTCATGAAATCCACCCAAATTTCTTAGAAGAATGACTCTGTCACAGTGAAAATGTTGTTGGACAATATATAAAATATACATGTGTGTATCTATGCACATGTATAAAACATACCCAACTACATACCCAATAGAGATATGGTATGAAAAGAGTCTGCTGTGATATTGTGGGAAATTGCATCACTTTAGTAAAACTCATAAACAAGATTGAGGCGTCTTAATTTTTTAACAAAACAGGAAGTTAGCATCTCAGTAGGCAACAGAACTCTTTAAGTTAGTGAGTTCAATGTATGGTGATGATTTTAAACTGCTTCTGGGATTTTATCGCCGGAGGAGTCATACTCTGAGCCGCGTCTGTCTGGCCTTCCTTTAAGCGGTTCTTCATACTACCACAACACATCCTATGGCTATTCTGCTAGTGTTGGGGTTCCCCATTCCCCTCTAATGTCCTATGCAAGCAACTCATTATGATCTTCCAGATTTATCGATATTTCAAGGGTTTATGTATCAATACTAGTTGATGCTAGAGTTACCATTCCTCTCTGGTGTCCCATATAAGCAATTTAATATGATCTCCATTCTCTCAGATTTATCTACAGTTCAAGGACTTATGAATCAACACTAGTCCGATCTCCTCACTCTCTAACCACCCCAACCCCCAAACCCAAGACAAGGCTACCAAGCCTTAACCAAGAAGAAATACAATGCAATTGACTTACAACTCCAAGAAAATGTTCATGGAACCTGCTGAATGAGGCAAAATCCTACAGTCCTACCTAAGCAGTATGACATTTAAGTAATCAGGTTGGATTCTAGGACAGTGGCCAGAGATCGGCAAGCTCTTAGTACTCAATTTCTGCCGAAAGATCAAAAGGGTCTGTGTTGGTTGTGTGTTATTGATTGGTCATATTTCCAAACCATTTTAGTTGACTTTCCCAGAATGTCAGGTAAAAAAGCAAGGAACTTTGAATGGGAGGCATTTAACATTACACAACCAGAATTTAGAGGGAAAGAAAGAATAAAAGAAAAATGGCAACGGGGAAGTGGATGTAAAAGGAGAAAAAAAATTGCTAGAGGAAAGAAGAGACAATGCCAGCCTACCTAAATCCTACTATACTCTGACATTACCTCCCATAGCATTTGATATCCTTATAGGGTACCATGCATCCTAGAAGCAACATTTATTACAAACAGAGTCTGGCCACCTTAAGGCAAATTGGTATGTCTAATATATCATGTCAATTATGTGATGTTTTAAAAATTTCACTTGACAGTGCTAGTTGACAGGTAGTTGTTTAACCATAAGTAAAGGGAACTAGGTTTGACATATAAATATAATTGTCTAGGTCTGCTTTATGTAGTAGCTATTTAAAAACATACGAAAACTATCAGAATTTGAAATATGGATGTTTGAATAGGTTTCATTTTCATTCTTTACTTGTGAGGATGCAGTTCTGTTTATTTTAACTGGCATGGTCATCTGTTCACTATAACAATACTCTAAGCTCAAGCAGCAGAGTTTACAGTGACTACTACATGCGCTAGTCAAAAAGCCACACTCAAGTCACACTATTTATTATACCAGTCTCTAGTCAGATCTTTGAGAAACTACAAACGTAAATGAAAACAGAAATTTTCAACCAATCATTGAGATCAATTTGTCTACATAGTGCCAAACACAAAGTCAGATTTTTCCATTTTCTACAATATTTCAGAGTCAAAGAACACTTCCAGTAATTAGTTTAATAGATGAGATGGTCTCAATAATAAAAACAAAGTAAATAAATATTTGGTTAAAAATGTCACCAGAATAACTTTTTTTTTAAATCTACAGAAACTAGAAGCATAAAAAATATTTTACAGTATCATGGGCCATAGGCAGCAACATAAACACAAAACTCACGCTTTTCTGACTGTGAAGGAGCAGGATACCTGGAAATAAATTATTATAATCTTGTCATTAGAATACATAAACACATAAAACTTTGGGAGCCAGTATGATGGCATCTGTCTTGGAGGTCTACTTCTACGGGATAACTTAACTTGAGCCTGCTGATAGATGTTATAAGTTCCCATGTTGAAGGTCCATTTCACACCTTTGAAAGAATTTGTTCTAAGACACTCTTTTAAAGCAAACAAAAAGACCCACACCTCTCAGTTAAATACAGATTTCATTCCAGAGACTCTGCAGCCCATTGAGGATCCCATTCCTGGGAGGCACAAAGATTATTGTTTCTTCTTTCCCTTGGGCCACAAGAAGTCAGTTTTCCAGTGCTAATGAAATACACTCCCAAATACCTGTATGAAATAAAGACCTCTGGAAATATCAAAGCACAGACTCAGAAAATGTCAGACCTGGATTCAGGTCTGACAATTCAGTAACTTGTGGAGGGACAGAACTAAAGCACATCCCCTTTAGTCCTGGAGAGGAAGCCCCATGCTTTGGGAAGGAGGTTTGGAAGGGAAAATCTGACTGTTTATGGACTGAGGAAGAGGTATGCTGGAGGTTAAATATGAAGCATCCTTAGTTAAGGCTAAAATAACACTGCCTATGTTCTCCTTTGGAGTGGTACAGAGCACTGGATTTCAACTTCACGCATTTGTTCAGAACTCTTCTGCCAAGGTGAGTGGGGCAGTCTTGGAATTTGTCTGATTAAATTACCTGCTTTGATTTCCTTGGGAGCTCCTGGGATCACAGATTTCTGCAGCTGGAATTCACTATTAGGAAGTGAAAAAGGTAGCAGACGAACCCAGAGACAAGAATAGCTTTCTGGCTGCGATTTTGCTCTGGGAAAGCACCAAAGTCGATCGGGCAAATGTTCGAAGGCTAATGTAAGAATGTAAAATTACTCTCTCAAAACAACAAACAGATGGAATTTTTGTAAGAACTCTCATTTGTAAGCACAATATGCCATCCTATTATTACGATGGACAATTGAGCTAAATTTCCATTTTCATGCTAAAAATGGATGACAAAGTTTCTTAGTGGTTTAAAATTTGGGTAAATATTTCAAAACTTAAGTTAAAAAAATACAGAAACTAAGCACAAGAGTAACTAGTAAGATTCAAGGTTCAGGGGATTTAGTTCCAAGAAGAGAATGTATTTTTATTCCTCTTCTCTTCATTATAAGAAATATCATATTCTATCCCTTTCTTCCTCTTTTCTCCACTAGGGCATTAGGAATTTATTTTTGAAAATGCAACCTCCAAAGATTACCCAATCTGAATGAAAAGTGGAAAACTGAGTCTATTTACTATCCTACTGTCTGGAATAAATGATTAAATTGTTCACCTTTCAAAATAAGAGCCTATATATATGGCTATTGTTTTAGGATACATTCTCTCCTTAAGTGCTATCCCTTTTGTATATTATTAGAGTGCTTTGGGCCAAATTAGCAGACACTCTCTGCTCTAAGACTGTGGGTGGCTAAGATAGCCAGCATTACTGCAACGTTTCCTAAGCCACCAAATGGATTATTTTCCAAATTCTTTGGGATGGGCCACCAATTTCTCTTAGTTAGCCTGT